TTTGTAAGGGGGTCATGGTATTGCCAACCTTCTGACCTGCCTTCAGAGGTGGGTGGCGGAGAGCAGCAGCTGCTAGCGAGGCCCCCAGTTCTGAAGACAGGGCCCTGCCAGCAGCATGCCACCCTTACTTCTGTGCTGCTGGACGTGAGGGCTCAGCTCTACAGGCAGCAGCAGAAAAGGAAGGATAACAATTAGGGCTGTTGACTAATTGCAGTTAAGTCTAAAAAATAATCATGTTGAATCATACCATTAAACAATAGAATACCAATCAAAATTTATTCAATATTTTTGGACATTTTTCTGCATTTTCAAATATATTGATTTCAATTACAACATAGACTACAAAGTGTACAGTGCTCACTTTTGATTATTTTAATTACAAATATTTGCACTGTAAAATGATAAAAGAAATAGTATTTAATTCACCTCATACAAGTACTGCAGTGTAATCTCTATCGTGAAAGTGCAGTTTATGAATGTAGATTTTCTTTGTTTTGTTTTAGAGTGCCGTTACATAACAATGTAAAACTTTAGCGCCTACAAGTCCACTCATTCACTCAGACAAACAAGTTTGTTTACATTTACAGAAGATAGTGCTGCCGGCTTCTTATTTACAATGTCACCTGAAAGTGAGAACAGGTGTTCACATGGGACTTCTGTAGCTGGCACTGCAAGGTATTTACATGCCAGATATGCTAAACTTTCGTATGCCCCTTCATGCTTCGGCCACCATTCCAGAGGACATGCTTCCATGCTGATGCCGCTTGTTAAAAAAATAACCTGTTGATTAAATTTGTGACAATTCTCTTCCAATGAGTGCAATGTCTCCTGCTCTATTTTACCCGCATTCTGCCATATATTTCATGTTATAGCAGTCCCGGATGATAACCTGGCACGTGTTGTTCGTTTTAAAAACACTTTCACAGCAGAGCTGACAAAAAGCAAAGAAGGTACCAATGTGAGATTTCTAAAGATAGCTACTGCACTCAAACCAAGGTTTAAGAATCTGAAAGGGATGAGGTGTGGAGCACGCTTTCAGAAGTCTTAAAAGAACAACACTCCAGTGTGGAAACTACAGAACTCAAATGACCAAAAAAGAAAATCAACCTTCTGTTGGTGGCACCTGACTCAGATGATCAAAGTGAACATGCATCGGTCTGCACTGCTTTTGATCGTTATTGAGCAGAACCATCATCAGCATGGACGCATGTCCCCTGGAATGGTGGTTGAAGCACGAAGGGACATACGAATCTTTAATGCATCTGGCACGTATATAACTTGTGACGCCGGCTACAACAGTACCAGGAGAACACCTGTTCTCACTTTCAGGTGACATTGTAAATAAGAAGCCGGCAGCATTATCTCCCATAAACGTAAACAAAATATATTGTTTAATGATTGGCTGAACAAGAATTACGACTGAATGGACCTGTAGGCTCTAAAGTTTTACGTTTTGTTTTTGAGTGCAGTTACGTAACAAAAAAAAATCTACCTTTGTAAGTTGCACTTTCACCATAAAGAGGGTGCATTATGGTATTGTATGAGGTGAACTAAAAACACTATTTTTTGTTTATCATTTTACAGTGCAAATTGTAATAAAAACAATAAAGCAAGCACTGTACACTTTGTATTCTATGTTGTAATTGAAATCAATATATTTGAAAAAAGAAAACATCCAAAACTATTTAAATAAATGGTATTCTATTTTGGTTTAACAGCATGACTAATTAATTTTTCTAATCACTTGACAGCCCTACGGGCAATACCACACCAGGCCATTCTTCCTTCTGCGCTGCTGCTGGCAGTGGCTCTCCCTTCAGAGCGGGGCTCCCATCCAGCCGCCCAGCTCTGAAGGCAGTGCTGCTGCCAGCAGCAGTGCAGAAGTAAGGTTGGCAATACCCCATCCCTCCTTCCAATCACCTTGTGCCTCCCCTCCCTGCAAACCCTGTGGGTCAGTCACAAAACCATGACATTTCAGATTTAAATATCAAATCATGACATTTATAGATTTTAAAATCCTATGATCGTGAAATTGACCAAATCGGAGTATGAATTTGGTAGGGCCCTAACAATAAGCTATGCCATTTAAAAGAACCTACCATGAGATTTTACTGCAATGGGGCAGAGCCATTTTCTAAAATTTAAACATGATTCAGTGTAACTAAACATCAGATCTATGTTATGAGAACTAAATGCAAACCACAATGCTTATGGAGACCTCCACTATTAACCAAACTTCACTGTAACTTGTTCAGCAGCCCAGCAGGGCCTGGGATGAACAAATGGGTTTTAGAAAGGCCATCCGGGCCTTCAATACCATGTGTTAGAAATAATCACTCATCAACAAGGATTTCTACTTTTGTTGCTTACCTTAAAATCCATACAATTGTCTTTCTGAAATCAAACTCTGGTTGCTGTGGAAAAGAAACAGGAAGGCTTTCACTGAGATATCATTAGCAGAATCTTTCTTAAAAGTCTTTATCTTCACTCATCCTCCTAATATTAAGCAAGGGAAGACATCTACCAATAGATTCCCCCCCCACCAGTTTCCACAAGGTGGCAGCAACATGCTGAGCGTGGTTGCCTGGCATGAGGGCTAGTGTTTTACAGAAATTGCAGCTATTGCTATGTTTTTTTCCAAAATGATTCTTCATTTCCGGAATTGCAATTCAGGGTGGGTGGGGCACATAGGGTCACATTCCATTCCCTCCCCTCCCCCCTTCAGATTTTTCCCCAGACACACCTGACTCATTCCCAGGGCAGAGGCTGGGCCCTGGCTGATATTCCGACTCACCGCCAGCTTCTCCCTTCCTCACACAAGCCTGGGCTTGGCAAAACCACTATGGAGCTCCCCTGGGTGGGCAGGGCACTTGGCAGCAGGATGCTGAGCTCTCTCACTATGCCGCAGAGTGGAAGGTGTTCGCACCTGCTCTCGGCAACGTCCACAGCACCTCGCCCCTCTCCCCCACAAACAACTGGCCTGGCTGTACCCCTGTGCCCAGCATCTGTCCTCCTCTGCACACAGCTGGCTCTAGGATAGAGGCCTCTGTGCCCAACATCTGTCCCCCATCTCTCCAACATAGCTGCCTCTAGCGTTTTTTTGTATTAACATACCCAAAATTACTCCGTTTTCATTGCCAGAAAACACTGGCCATACTGGGTGTTAGGATATAGATAGTCAGGCCTGTCTGTAAAGGCCAAACTCTAAGAATTTAGGTCTATTCTTATCACTTGGCTAATTAGAGGTATAAAAGAATCAAAATCACTGTCTGCCGGTGTAAGGGCCTTCTCTCCCTGTGACAGTCTGAGGCCCTGTTCTTAGGCTAAGGCCTCTGGCTAAGCAGCAAAGACAGCCATAAGCTGGGAAACGACCGGTCATCTCCTCACATTCCAAACTAGTCACTGAAAGAAGGTGCTATTGGGCTGTTAGGATACAATCCTGTCCTGATAGTGCCTATCGCCTCCAGAGAAAGGGAAGTGCCTAGAAAATGTAAAAGGAAACTTAGTTTGATAGTACCCTGTCTGGCAAGAACTCACTTATCAATAGCTGGGATGTGAAATCCTCACTTCTGTATTGTTTTGTCATTATAGTTCCCACTTTGCTATTGTCTGTCTGGTACTGTGATTGTTCCTGTCTGCTGTATAATTAATTTTGCTGGGTGTAAACTAATTAAGATGGTGGGATATAACTGATTACATAATCATGTTACAATACGTTAGGATTGGTTAGTTAAATTTCAGGAAAATGATTGGTTAAGGTATAGCTAAGCAGAACTCAAGTTTTACTATATAGTCTGCAGTCAATCAGGAAGTGAGTGGGTGGGGGTGGAAATTGGAACAGGGAATGGGGGTGGGGAAATTGGAATCATGTTTTGCTAAAGGGGTGGGAATGGGAACAGGGAATGGGGCTGGGGGGGGAAATTGGAATCATGTTTTGCTAAGGGGGAAATGGGAACAGGGAATGGGGGTGGGGAAATTGGAATAATGTTTTGCTAAGGGCAGGAATGGGAACAGGGACACAGGTAAAGCTCTGTGGTGTCAGAGCTGGGAAGGGGGACACTAAGGAAGGAAACTGGAATCATGCTTGCTGGAAGTTCACCCCAATAAACATTGAATTGTTTGCACCTTTGGACTTCGGGTATTGTTGCTCTCTGTTCATGCAAGAAGGACCAGGGAAGTAAGTGGGTGAAGGAATAAGCTCCCTAACATCAGTGTGTATCATTGAGTCAAATGGTTCCTGGATACATATTGCCGAAGAACAAAACGACAAATGGATCAGCACTGGAATATCGAAACTTTTTACATCATGTTTCTGCATTTGAATAATGTTTCAAGAGCGGAAAGCCATTGGGTACAATGAGCCACTAAAGTTTTTACTCTTGATGTGAGAACTCAGTTTGAAGATGTACTAGATGTGGAAGGATCAGTTTGGTGGGGCGCTTACTATCTTTCCATAACCCAGCAAAGCAAAGGCTCCAACTTTAGTCTACCTGTGGAATCCCACTGTCCAGCTGTGGTTCCAGACCATTCTGTGTGGACAAGTAGCTAGAATTCATGAACAGCATGTTAATCCTACATTCTTTGGACAAGAGGAGCCATGTGTACTACCACTCAGCTGACAACCTTGCTTCATTTAGACAAGCTATTTAGGCCTCCATTATTAACCAGTTCAGCTGTAACAATGCTGTAACCCTGATGTCATAATAAGCTACAAGTATTATTAGTAAGAGACAGGGAGAATTCAGATGGCTTTGGAAATCATTTTGGCATCTTTACACAATGATCAGCTTGCCCACATGATGGGCATCTGCCAGGGAAAGTTTGAATGACATGATCCCTGCCCATATTTGGCATACATACAGTAACACCTTTCAAGTAACATCTAGCTATGAAAAAAATATAAAGCAGTACCATCTCGTTACTGTAGTGGAGGGGCTGAGATGTAATGTCATGCCCCTTGCAAAACACATGAAGTTTTACTGACCAAATTAAAGAAGCCTGGTTCTGTAGCTCAGAGGCAGAAGTAGACTCATACGTTCCTGTGTATGGACCAGCCACTAGAGAAGGACAGAGCCACATAGGTTACCATGCAAGACAGATCTGTTCTTCCAAAAATTGTTGAGAGAGAGAGGGGGATGGCCAGAGTGGACCTGGTCCAGCAAATGCTTCCCCCAAGTACCAACATCGTAGATACTGTCTCATTCTGTCACAGCAGCACAACTCAACATCCCCTCTCCCACCTATAAAGAAATATACTTTTTGTGCAATGATTTATTTACATATTTTACAGTGAATCATATGTAACAATAATAAAGTGCATTGTTTAAAAATAAATTGCCTCAAAGTTCCAGAGTCCAGACTTGTGTTTCTCTCAGTGTGTTGCTGTTACGTGTTACTCTTCCCTTTGGTGTGAAGTTTTTCAGGCAGCATTTGCAAGTCAAAGCCAGAACGGATATAGCGGTAGATCTCCTCAGCCTTCTGCTGACTCACTTGGGCACAGGTGGCTATGTCCTTCGGGCAGCTGCAAAAGACATTACACAAAAGAGGATATTTCAGATGCTGCTCTTTGGGTTCCAGCTAGGTTCCACACTAGGGGAAAAGCCAATTGGGACAAATGAAACAGGTGCTTGTTCAATCTGCTGCAGGTATCTGCTTCAAGTAAAGTGAGGGCCCAGAGATGCCAGGGAACTTTTCAAAGTATTCTCTCACTGGGACTTGAGGGAACTCCCCGCATCAGAGGAGGCCAGCCCAAAGCAGAGAACAACTTGGGACACAATGAGGTGAGAGCAAAGGCAGGGCTGAGGAAGGGGGCTTATGTCACATTCCAGAGCTAGGAAGGGAAGATTAGCAGGGAGCCTAGAGAGCAGTGCTGGGGGGAGACACCTGGAAGCAGTGAAGGAAGGAAAGCACAGGGTTTCTCAACACATTTTTTGATAGCCTCAAAGTGTGGCCACAGACACTTATTGGTGGCTGCTCTGACAATTTTTTCCTAAAATACTTAATTAACTTTAGGAAAAACATATAAATATGCACAGATACACACCCAAATCACTGTAATTTATTTACATAAGGTTTCTTTTTCAAACTCAATCAAAATAATGTACTGTTCTTTACTGGACCGCAACAGAATAGACATAAAAATAAGGTGCTTTGCATGTTCTTGTCTTTTATTGTTGTTTCTTTTGCTTTTTTGGTTTCTGTTTTGTTTTAGACTTGCTAGTTAGTAAATGGTTCGCGTGGCTCAGGGTCGCAGTCTGCTCTGCTAGTTAGTAAATGGCTCGCGTGGCTCAGGGTCGCAGTCTGCTCTGCTAGAACAGAGAAAGAATGTTGCTGTTCCTGTGCCAACAGAGGTGAAAGGGGCCAAACAAGCAGCTCTCTGGTTCTGATGGACTATGGAAAGTGACTGCTGCTGTGAAACGTGATATTTGTATGTCTGTTAATATCATTTTTCACAGACGCAGTCTTCTAGCTAGCTGGGAGGCAGTGAAAATTGATACTAACATAAAAATATCACGTTTCACAGCAAATTTACTCAGCCCTGGCATGCTGAGGGACAAATTAAGCCCTGGATGGGGAGGTGGGTAGAGAGGCAGCAGGGGCCAGGGGCAATAGGGAGTGAGGAGCCTGGGGTCAGCGCCCGAAGCCCAGGTCTGGGCCGAAGCCCTGAGGCCAGGGTCTGCCACTCCATGGCCGGAACCTGCTGCCTCCCATCCCAGGGCTGAAGCCGGAAGCTTGAGCCCCACTGGCCCCAGGAAGATGGGGACTCACACCGACTGCCTGCTCCTCCAGCGTTTCTGGCTCCAGAGGGGGGCGGGGGTCCAACCTCTGCTGGTGGCCTAGGGGAGGAGTCACTGCTTCTCTCCCCTTGCCCCTCCCCTCCCAATCACTGCCCAGGAGGCTGTGGCCACAAGAAAAGCCCCTGGTGGCCACATGCAGCCACGATGGCTGCATTTGAGAAACCCTGGGTTCGGGTAACTTTATTATGAGCAGTGCTGTGGCAGAGACTGCTACCCCAAGCCACTCTAGCCGATTCCTGCCCTGGCAAGAGATCCTGTGTGAGAGGGCCAAGGAAGTGGCATGAAAAGCAAAGGCACAGAGGGAGGTGAAAGGATCACCTCTGCCAAATTCACTTTTCCCTGTAAAATGAATCCTGAGGTATTTGCAATGCAATCTACCCTGCCATTACCTGTTAGCCATCTTCTTCACAGAATCAAAGCCGTGGCACATGTTCAGTGCAGCTACGTAGCTGATGTTGGGAATACTCAGATAGAACCGGAGAGCTTCTTGTTTGGCCCCTTTCACTTCTGTTGGTACATGAATAGCAACATTCTTTCTCTGTTCTACCAGAGCCAGATCTTTCAGCAAATGGGCAGATTCCTCTTGGCAAGAGCTGAAAAGGATTCGGATTCCAGCCCGGATTAAGGCTGACAGCATGGCATCATAGTACTTGGTCCTTTGGAATAATCTTGAAGTCTCTCCTGCATATTTAGAATAGAAAAGTTCAGAATCAGAGTTTTCACAGAGATTGAATTCTTTTTAAATCTGGGATTGTTAAGAAGGAATATACATCAATAATCATGACCACAACTTTGTAAGTTACTTTACAAACAATAAGATTGTTTTAGAGAACTCACTATATAAGATGATGAGATGAGGGAAAACTACTCAAATAAAGAGATGATTGGGGAGAAGGCTGGTTTCTTGGAAGAGGAAAAGAGAAAACATGGCAGAAAAGAAGTAGGAAGCCGTACCAAATACAAGGGCTAGATGACAAAATTCTAGGTTGAAAATGCAAAATAGATGAAGAGCAGTTAACATGAGGGACTGGGAGGAGCACAGGGGCAAGCAGTGGAGGAGAAGGAAGAGCCAAAGATGAGGAGAGATTATATAGGGCCATGAAGGTAGGGACTAGGCGCTTTAACATGAAGTGGTGAGAAATGAGTAGCCAATGAAGAAACTTGAGCAGATAAGTAACATGGATGGAGTAATGGGGAAGGAAAAAGAGGAAAGCAGCAGCATTCTGGAAACAATGGAATGAGGGAAAGTGGACAGGATGTTACAGGAATGAACAATGTGTGCAACAGCATCAGCAGTGGGATAGTGAGGCACCTTTACATAAGTCAAGACACTTATTTTTGTGACTATATAGAATTTAAGCACTTCACTCTCAGCGTCCATGTTCAAAACTTGCATCAATCCCATAGTCCTCTGCCGGTTTGTTACACAGGGGCAGGGATCAGAAGCACTGGGGGTTACAGTTTTAAGCATTTATACTTCACATAAAGCTACATTTACAAAAACATTTGGTTTCAATAATTTAATACCTACAACTGCTGTATAGAGTCTCCTACTTCTCTCTCTGATTTCAAAGCAAGGCCATTGTCTACATAATCTGTTAGATACTAAAAGTCTATTGGCAGCAACATGGCAATTTTGATGGAACAAGTTGCTGTCTTAATGCTAAGTACGCTTTAGTTTAAAAATATACAGTACGCTGTTTTGAGGGAACATTGGAGTTTACCTTTACAGTACTACTTCAAAAAATATTTTCAGCTAAACAAATAAGAGAAGGTAAATTGCCTTCATCTCACTGGGCAAAGCTGGCTTTTGGCTGCCTCAGGGACTAGCATTGTTATGAATAAATAAAATAGGGATCACTATGTTTGATTTTGCAAATAACTTTACATCCATTTATAAAACCTTTCAATATACAGCAAATTATATTGCTCAGCTTGTAGCGATGGGTTTCTGGCTTTATTTCCATAAGACCTCACAAAGGTTCTAAAACAAATGTTCTTAAAATTTCACTGATTCTAGTAGTATATAAAGCCAGTGCAGTAACTATTAATTTTGCCAGTCACAGCAGCAGTGTGAATACTAGCTAACCTGCTTTAATCCTGTCCTTTTCCACAATCACACATATCCTCTCGAACATGCTCTGCAAATGCTGAATCCGTTGTGTAACTTTGTTCCTGTTCATACTGTTCAGCAGTTCTGACTGAGTTCTCCTTTCCACTGCCATTCGATTGCTCACAATGTAATCACAGCCTCCGAGAGAGCAAACCTGCACCTTTACTCCATGAACCGCTTTCAGGGAGGAAATTATTTCTGATCCAGAGGAGATCTCACGACTGTCGACCAGAATGCAAAGGGAGGCTTTTCTCTCTAGAAGACCAGCTGAAACAGGTGGTGCAGCAGCAGAATTTCCCTTGGAACCAGAGCACCATGTATCTGAAGTGTTTGCACAGAGGTTTTTTGAAGAACCTTCCACCTGCAAACATAAAAAGCACACACTACACCACGTTTGCAATGGCAATATGGAGCAAAAGGATGGCACTCCCTAAGAATGTAGATTTAAATATAAAGGCTTAGCAGCATCAAGTTTCGTTTCACGCTCATCCTGGCATTCTCTCAGAAATCATTCAGTTGCATCTTTTAATGAGAAATTCACTTTTATCTTGTTTGTAACTTTTCTGTACTGCAGAGACTTAAGCTTCAAGGTCAACATTTCAAATCTGTCTGCCTAAAGCGAGGCTCCCAGATCGGCATGCAGGTACCAGATGAGGGGCCTGAACTTTACAAGTAATCAGCACTCACCGATACTGAGTGGCACTGCAGGTGGTCAGCACCTTTGACCATCAGGCTGCTTTGATTTGGGTGCCTACACAAAGATTTAGGAGCCAAATTTTAGACCACCCAGGGTTTGATTTTGGACCAAGTGTACAAACCTATTACAGGAATTATAAATACAGAAATTATAACAGAACCCTGGTTATTTGACCCCAAACGATCCGAAGCTCCCCATTATCGGAAATATGGTCATGTTCCTCAATGACTGTTAATTGAAAATTCTGTCAGTTCCCAACATCTTGACCTGGACCATCAAATGCACAGAGCATGCAGCAAAGCTCCACTTGGTGAGTGGTAAGGAGATATGGCCACTTCCCTAGTACTCCGTTGTACTGTTCCCTTCAACTTTCTCTCGAATGGCACCAGATTCACAGCCATTATTATCACCTGTATTTACAGCAGCACAAGTAGTTAATCTTTCGGGGCCAGGGCCCCGGTTTGCAAGGCACTCTACAAATACATGTGAAGTGAAATGGCGCTCTTATGCCTTTGAAATAATACCCACCTTGAGTTTTGCCTGAAAATCCCCATCCCTTCTCAGCAAATCATTGTTGGCAATAGCCAGCGAAGACGGCCTGCCTCTGCCCCTACTTTCTGGCTGAAAGTCCAACACTTCAGACACTGAAGCCTTCAGGTTAATTAGTCTCTGATCCTTGTTCTCCAGGGGCTGATGAATAGAGTTCTTTCTAGCAGGAGCTTTAGGCTGTCCAGGAGAGTCTGAAAGCAATGACTTGGGTATGTGAGCATGGCTGTAGTCTCTCCTGGGAGAAGCTGTTTTTACTGGCCTCTGATTACTGACATTTGTTTCATCCCCACTAGAATCATCAAGGACAATAATTCGGGACCTTTTCTTTGTTAACGGAACTGCACAATTCTGTTCTGTCTTGGCCTGGTTTAATTTTACTCTGCGGCGAGTGAGGTATTGTTTTCTTCCACTAGCAGAGCGCTCATCCATTACAAGGTCAAAATTGACACACACTTCCTCTTCTTCACTAGCGTCACTTTTCCTGAGATTTTCCTCTTCCTCCTCTTCAACGCAGAAACTATCTGCTAAGTAAGCCTCATCTTGCTCAGGAATCTGGAAGGAATTAGAACATGACCACTTTGGCTTTGCACTATACATAAGTGGTGTGCTCATTTATCCATTTTATGCAAACTGCTGAAGTCAAAACAGGTACCTAATATTTGAGCTACTTCCAGTGCCCAATCCTACAGCCCCCACATGTGTGTGATTCCCCAGGGAGTAAATGGGAAACTGCAAGTATTGCAGGCTCAGGCCCATCATTTGTCACTAGAAAATATTTAAAGTGAATATGACTAACATAACAGGAGAAATTAAATGAGATTTACTGGCTAATAGTTCTGAGACTGCATTTTAAACAATCAATCCTAATTTCAGTTTTCAGTATGTGTTATAGCTAAATATTTCAGATTACAAATATTTATTTTTTTGTAATTTCATTCATTCTAGAACCTCAAACTTGTACCCAAAAGACAAAATTCTACAATTTTTTACATTAAACAATGCTGATGACACACAACTCACATTCTACTATGTATACAATGCAAATTCCACAACATATGCAAAATGGCTTCCACTAGGCCTATACAACAGATTTTACAATAATGAGACAGGCATTTTGCTAGATTTGTTTTCAAAACAAGCTATCTACTCTGCACAATACATCTCAATGCACAAAGATTTGGGAAATGCAAAATTAAATTCTAGAGTGCGGTCAAGTTCGGAACATAAGCTTCACAGGTTACATATACGCCACAGCAGTGGCAGATTCAGAAAAAAAGTACCTTCTCCACAGATTCTGCAGCCCCTGTGTGCATTGTTTATGCTTTGTGGAATTTATCTGCATGCAAGTGTAGGAGACCAGCTTAATTACCATGCTAGTTTGATTTTTCATTTGTAAATAGCAAAAAAATTGAGATTTTCACCTATAAAATCAGTATTACTGCCGTGATGAGGGCAACGTACGATACTATATCAACTACAAAGAGGCCACCGGCAATAATTAATGCCATTGTCCATTTTGCATTGTTCAATAAATGAAAGACGACTAAATATTGAAAACCAAACCATTTAACTTCAAATTAGGTAATGGCCTCTCTCGGATGGAAAAAGGAGTAGTATAAAAGTACAGAGGCATGCATGTCTATCAGTGTATGCATTCTGGTCTCTTTTATAATGACTAATAAAATCATAAACTGGGTTTTTGCTAGAAAGAACTATTTAGGAAGCCTGGGTTGCAAACAAACCTGAAAGAAAGATTAAACAGAAATACAGCCTTAAATAGGTTACACTTCTTGAGGAAAGCAGAGTCATTTCACTTCATACCTGTGAGAAAACAGCCATACTATTGAATCCTTTATGCACCATTTTATACCTGTTGCCGAGAGCTGGGCTACGGACAGATTTTAGATAAACTCCTTCCATCTCAGAATCTGAATAAAAATTATGAAAACAGAGACTTTATTAAGTGTTTAATTACACAATGGTTTTCCACCAACAAAATAAACATTTCCATAAAGGTGTTGCCCAAAGTAATATTCCATAGCAAAACAAGCTCTTCAAATTTTTCCTGACTTGATAAAGACTCAAGAGTCTCCTACAAAATCCCCACATGCTCTTGGAAAAATAGAAGACTGGACCTACCCAGTCTTCTATCAACAGTGAACTAGGAGTCACCCAATGAAATGAATAGGCAGCAGGTTTAAAACTAAAAAAAGGAAGTACTTCCTCACACAACGCAGTCACACTGTGGAACTTGTTGCCAGGGGATGTTGTGAAGGCCAAAACTATAAAAGGGTCCAAAAAAGAACTAGATAGGTTCCTGGAGGACAGGTCCACCAATGGCTATTAGCCAGAATGGTCAGGGATACAACCCTACGCTCCCTAGCCTGTGTTTGCCGGGAGCTGGGAGTGGACGACTGGGAATGGATCACTCAATGATTGCCAGTTCTGTTCATTCCCTCTGAAGAGCCTGGCATTTGCCATTGTGGGAAGACAGATTACTGGGCTAGATGGACCATTAGTCTGATCCCGTATGGCACGTTCTTTTGTGCCATAAGATTTCTCCCAATAGGCAGACCTCATAAAGCTCATTATAGCTTCCAACAGAGAAGGCTGACATCATGTATCTGTAACATTCAAACCATCCATTTTTCCACTATGCAAGTCTCCCTGAAAATGGATCTAACCATCATCTCTTCATGGGTCGCTCTGAAAACAGGGATGGCATTGTCGAAATCCAATATAAACAGGGAACAACTGAGACCTGACCTGCAGGAGAACACTCCTCAAGTAACTGCCTTTAAGAATCTATCAAACCAAAGTGAAGATGAATCCATTTTCCTACATCCTTCCCTCAAAGACAAAATTAGCCTTCCAGACTCAGAGCACCTAATTATTTAACCTGAACAAGACACCCTCCATTAGCATCAATTTCTTCCCACCTCCTTACATGAAACATTTGTTTCCAAAGCTGGTGATTCCAACATTTTGCTGTCCGATATTCCACAATCCCATACTTACTTCCTCCCTCATCCCCTTATATAGGACTGTACAGAACAGGGGAGCAGAAAGTTGGAAATGAAACAGATGCAAGTCTGGCATAGTGTATAAAATGCATCCTTGTTGCTAAAAGAATAATTCAGAATAGAAAGTGGAACAGATTTTACAGGCCATCTGCCAGATCTATTCCTCGGGGGGAACAAACCTCAGACAGTAATCTACTGGAGTAACCACTCACTTCACTTGTGATTACTAATTCCTTGGTCCTGCCTCATTCCCCACACAGCCAACGATTTGCACAAAAGTACTAAACAATTAATTAATCATCCCAGCAGAAAAACTTTGCTTCCTCAACTTTATCAGTAAGTTCATACCATTTTATCTTAAAAAGCACCTGATCATAATCCTCACTTTATATAAAAGCATTTTCCTAGGAGACCTGAAAGATCCAGACAGACCCCAACTGGAATGGAAAACTGAGGGTTTTCTACATTCATAATGGAGGAAAAAAATCACTTAAGGAAAGACAACCTGGTTATAATCAGTCAATCCTTGAAGAGCTTCTTCAACATTGCACAACACTGTCACACCCCAGAAGCCCGCAGTGAAGAATAAAATGCATTGTAAATCTATGTGGACATGAACACCATGAGACACAGACACCATAGCAGGGTTAAATGCAGTGGCCATTGCTTTATTTAAAACTATTATCCAACTGGAATGACCACTCCAAACTGCCCAGCAGGGTTGTTCCAATGCAGACCTCACCTGGCACAGATAGCCCTGGCGGATTATAAATCTGAGGGTGTGTGTGAAAGCCATGCCCCCTTCTGCAGCCTCAAGCCTACCGAGACTGGAAAACAAAGTGCTGACTTGCTCCCTTCCTTCACGTCATAGGTAGGAGAGAGGAGGTGAAGGGAGCCATATGCCATGTCACACAAAGGTGCACCCTCTCTCCATGCAGGGCTGTGCCCAGGACCAATACCCAGCAGCTGCATGGGTTACAAGGACCTCACATCGACCCTTTCTACCCCTCCACCTGCACTGGAATCTGCCCAAGTTGTGACAATTGTCATTTGAACCCCTCAAAACCAGACCTCCAGAATATAGGAGAGAAAGTGAAAACCCACATAGTAGGTTGGTCATTGCCATATGGGAAAAATCCCTTCCAGGCCCCAAAGCTAAGTGATCTGCCTACCTCCCAGAATCACAAGAGATCCAGCAACTAGATTAAAGGTGAGGCTGAAACAAGGAGCTCACAAGGGCTACCCCCCGCCTAAGCAGCAAACTGTATCAATCCCTCACACTCCACCACCAACAGGAGCCAATCGTCCAGCTCCAGCAGCAGGACAGGTCTCAGTGCCTGGGGTCAGATGCAGTATGTGATTCCAAGCCCCGATGCCCTCGGGGGTGGGGGGAAGAAGAGAAGCAGCTGCCCCCACATAATGAAAGCAAATGGGAGAGAGAGAAAGGAAGAAGGGGCATGTGGAACATTGCCTCAGCTAAAATTCCTCGTCTTCACACACACCTCTCACTTTCACTAGAAAATCTTCCCCTTTTCTTCTCCAACACACCCTCTTTCCCATCCTTCTTTCTCAGATCTCACATACAACAATTGGACATTGTGTATCTCACCCTTTTTACATGCTGCTTTCACCGCATGGAAATATTTGGCCTTTTATGCAATATGTTCCTCGATAAAATGTGTCTAATGGTTACCTGTGAGATCAGATCTTCAAGAGAAGAGCCAAATAAAAATCTCAAACACTGTTTTAATAGAAAGGAAAGTGATTTTCTTCATTTACCATTTAAAACCTCTGTGAACTGTGTCTCATCATTAAGGAATTGATTGAGTGAGGAGTTTTGTTCGTTCTCTGAATCACTCTCATCAGATGAAATAGCCTCTGCCTCTTGTAGGGAAAGTTCAGCTTCTTCATCTAAAAATTGTCTGGCTGCACTCTACGAAAATGCAAACAAGTGAGTAATTTACAGTAGCATACTTCAGAGGAACTTGTATCGTAGATAAGTAAAATCAGTTAATGAATTCAGGAGACACAGGGCTCTCCGATGACCACAGATTTTATATGTCAGACTTTGAAATCAAAGGAAGAGAAAGCCATGAAAGAGTAGTCAAATTGCTGCAACTGAGGTTAGAAAGGAGTAGCCGAAGTCAAAATGGGGGCTGACTCAAATGCTGAAAGCAGAGAGCATATAGTCCAGGGGTGGGCAAACTTTTTGGCCCGAGGGCCACATTGGGGTGTGAAACTGTACGAAGGGCAGGGTAGGGAAGGCTGTGCCTCCTCAAACAGCCTGGGCCCCGCCCCCTATCTGCCCCCTCCACTTCCCGCCCCCGACTGTCCCCCTCAGAACCCCCGACCCATCCATTCCCCCCTGCTCCTTGTCCCCTGACCACTCCGTCACGGGACCCCCACTCCTAACAGCCCCCCCGGGGACCCTACCCTCTACTCAACATGTAAAGCTCCTACCTTGAACATAAAAAAGTTGTCATCACTCTTTTGCCTTTTGACACCTTTTAGTTGTTTCCTGTAACGGCTCATGTCGCAATCCACAGTCCTGTTTGATTTCTTGTGAAAATCCATGCCCTCATCACTAGATACGTCTGACTAGAGTATGTTACAAACACTTCAGTGAATAGGAAGAAGACGGTCATATAACCATTCCTAATGGCTCAGTTTGCTATTCTTCAATATCAAATATTATCTAAGCAAGTGGTTGTCAAACTTATTTGATCGCGCCACCCCCTTTCTTTGTGTCTGCAGTAGTTTATGCCTCCCTCACTCTTGCCACACAAGTACATATATGGCTGCTTAGCTCTGAAGGCAGCACAGACGTAAGGGTGGCATAGTATGGCATTGCCACTCTTACTTCTCCACTGCTGCTGGTGGTACCGCCTTCAGACCTGGGTGCCTGGCCAGCATCTGCTGCTCTCTGGTTTCTCTCCCCCACCGCCCTCCGAACACCCCCCAGTTTGAGATTCTCTGACCTAAGTAATCTGTGCATCTGATATGTTGATAATTATACTCCCACAAAAAGAACATTAATAGTAATCTTTCTATGAAATAAAGAAGCCATCCATTTTTGAGGAAGGGAGAAGAAAGCTTATGTCATTGGGAAAAAAGATTAAGTGAAATATGATATGAAAGCTTTGTGGGCTTATTGGTAGCACAACTCTCTTATTTTACTAATCCTTATAAGGAGAGAGGCTCTGTTCTTAAAACTGTGAATGTATAATTCATTGCCAGATACAACTACATATCATCTTAAATAAGATATTTAGGGGTCAAAGGGAGAGAAGAAAGAAACATTCTAATGAGTTTGGGTCAGATGCTTTTGGTCCTGGATCAGGCCCCTGATGAGCTAGCTCTTGAAGCCCAACATATTAAGGTCAGAAGAGACCATTATGATCATCTAGTCTGACCTCCTGCACAATGCAGGCCACAGAATTGCACCCACAGACTCCCGCGATAAACCTCTCACCTATGTTGAGCTACTGAAGTCCTCAAATCATGGTTTAAAGACTTCAAGGTGCAGAGAATACTCCAGCAAGTGACCCGTGCCCCATGCTACGGAGGAAGGCGAAAACCCCCCCAGGGCCTCTTCCAATCTGCCCTGCAGGAAAATTCCTTCCCAACCCCAAATATGGCGATCAGCTGAACCCTGAGCATATGGCCAAGATTCACCAGCCAGATACCCAGGAAAGAATTCTCTGTAGTAACTCAGATCCCACCCCATCTAACATCCCATCACAGGCCATTGGGCCTATTTACCATGAATATTTAAAGATTAATTCAGGAGGTCAGACTAGATGAACATAATGGTCCCTTCTGACCTTAATATCTATGAATGATTTAGCTTTATAAACAACTTAAACAAGTGAATCTTTGTTTCCAGTTCTGAATATTCCATTTGATTAGGTTTTGCAAAAGGAACGCCAAAACATCTATTAACTCATTGTCCAATTAACTTTTTAAACAAAGTCTTAGAACCCCAAATCAGTTTTATTTAACAATTTGGTATTTTTTTTAAATATACTGCTAAATATAAATGGTATTTAAATTAAAATGGCTAAACTGATATAAATTGGCTTAAACCAATGTCAGTGTGTCCACACTAGGAGTATGTACAAATTTAAATTTGTTTGTACAACAATTTTGTAAAATCAGTGCAAAAAACTGCGTAGACAAGCCCTAGTTTAAATCATCCAAGCTATTGCAGAGTCTCCTGATATTTGCCTACCTGAAACTGGAAATTCATTCTAGTTTTACTTTGTAATTAAAGCACAACATACAGACAAGCCGTGGAACTGAAATTCAACATTTCCCAGAATTGTATTGTCTTTGTTGTTTCCAGAAGGGCAGGGGCCACAGCAGCTGGCTCACTGGGCCTCACTCCAGAGAATGCCAAAGTTGCCAGTTAATGTCATTTGCAACGGTGGTTTGAGTAATGTGGAAGAGATCTATCCAACTAGCAATTGGACTAGACAGCTTTGGAGGCAGGAAGAGGGAAGTGAGGGGGAAAGGGATACACTAGCATAGCTAGTCTGCAAAATAATCTACCATACATACCCTAAAACTGGCTCCCCCAATTTTATTTTCCAAATGCTGTTTTTCTAAAAGTTTCAGATATCCTCTAAGACCTTTAGAAAAGCTGGACTTTTACCCTGAGAAGGGAGTATTTCAGAAATTAAGTTTGCATCCAAAAATGTGACCAAGAGCCGAAAATCTGAGAAATTAATTATTAGAATTGGAATGAAGAGGAGGCCATTTTGCAAGAGATGTTGTCCCTTAGCACATTTTAAAATGCACTGTAAACTTTACTTTGCATGCTTTATATTCGTGAGTCAGCGTCCCTTATTGTACACCAAAGCAGGTTTTGGGTTTTTTTTTTTTTAAGTAGGAAAGATTCTATAGTGATTGGGAAAGTGTTTGCCATTTTAAAATCAGCTGAGTGAAATTGTGTTCTTTTAAACACATTTTCTTTATGTCTTGTTCAAGCATTTACTTACTGTGTTAAGTGGATGCCTACGCTTCTTGACAGCATGAACTGGTGATTCAAAATCGCTGTTATTCTTAACCTTGGTGAATAGAAATAAATTAAAATGTAATTACAGATTCCAGAAAGGAGTTTTGCTTTGGCGTTTAATGAAACGTTCTTTTTTTTTGAATGACTCACATCAGGAGACTTCAAAACATTTCCTTTTTTCTTATTTTTCCTTTGGAAAACAATCTCTTCTTCACTTTCGCTGCTACTTTCTACTGAGGAGTGGCAAATAGATAACAATCATAAGAAAATGTATTCTCTACAACACAATATAGCTCTAACCAAACAATCATAATCTATTTGGCTTTGAAGATGGCTAAAAAAATAATTATTTATTGATGTATGTAGTAAGCATTGTTCCTGTTAGCCCTGGTAACCAAAACAAGTATTTTCCTACTGAGATACAAGGAAAGTGAGGTTTACTGTGTATTTCTTTGCACTGAAGTAATTACCCATGCAGCACAGAAGATGAAGAGTGGAGGGGATAAAGTAAAAGAGGGGAAAAAACCCATATTAGTAGTGAACAAGTTACATATTTATTTTCTTGTTAGTTGCCACATTCTTGTTTTGTTCCAGACACCCTGAAGAGAAGTGGAACTGACTGAAAATTCTTCTTACGAAATCTGTAACAGTCTGTGTATTAATTTTCTAGTGAACTACAAAGAATTATACCCTGTTTGATGTATTCTGAAAGATGCCATATTCCCTACACTGCCCAAGATATAGCTGTCCATTCTGACTCTTACATGGAGTTCCTTAACAGACGGATGTTCTCTGATGAGTTTTCTAATTTGCCAGTAAGAGCCATCAAGAGGCTATTTTAGCAGTCCTTTCACCTTCTCTAATTTTTTTCTCCAAGGTGTGCCTGAGACTTGCTATAGTCACAGTTGGCAGGGTTATTTATTTATTTCTTTATTAATTTTGGTGCTTGCAACAGAAAGAAGGCGAGGTGAACATTGGTTTTACTACTTTAGGGAGAAGCATACTACCTAGCACTTCTATAGCAATGTCTTCAAACATTAAATTGTAGTGATCCTTATTCACTACATCTTCTTCTAGTTGGAAATAACTGACCTAATTCACTAATTCCAGACTTTTTTACTAGGTTGAATTTGTTTATTAAATTTAGTTAATTTAAGTGTTTACTGAAGTTGCTTGCTCAAACATCCTGAAGACTGAACAGATATAGACATCACATAGGAAGATGTGAGAGTCCGAGCAATGTGCCTCAGCCAGATTCTAGAAGGAACCTAGGTTTCTGGCAAAAGCAAGCAAGCAAGCAAACAAGAGACTTTAGAGAATCCAGTAACTGGAGAGACTGAGCAAGTGTAGTAGGAGCGTAGGGGGAGAAAAGAAAGACTCTTCAGCCGCAGGAAGAGACTGCTCAGCAGTGGGTTATTTTCAACATTTAAGAGTAATAATGAAACCAGGCAGCAAACCTCAGTAGGCCCCAAGAATCAGGTTCAGTAACATTAGATCTTGATTTTTGTCAAAGTAGTTCAAGGTTATTTAGAGATAAGTGGGCTGGAGGGACAGAGGAGGGAAGAGAAGACTGCTGGCCCTGATCAGTTGGGAAGGTTTGGGCTTTTAAGGACAGCAGTATGGAATTTATGAATTTTGTGGTATAGATGCACCTAGAACAAGGGAGAGATTTAGAAGCTTTTACACACACACACACACACACCCTTACACCCTTTATAAACTGACATTTATAAAGGCAATCCATGTTCCAGCAGAAGTTATTGTCAGGAGATATTTACCATGCAAGTCAGTCACTGTATAATTAAAATTAAACAGATCTGTCAATACAATTTCTGTCCCATTTAGAACTATGATACAAAAATGTGAAGGCATGGATTTAGGGGTTACAGAGTAACAGATCGAGATGATTACAAATAAGACACTGAGAGGATTAAACAGGCTTTAAAGGCAGCTACAGTTCACATAACTGCATCTCACATGTTCACATGATCAGTACTTGTGCATAGATTTTAGGGGTTTAACCTAGACCCCCATTGCTGCAGTATTCACAGTCATTCAGCCTGAAACAGTCATATTTAAATATGTATTCTGCATGTTAACCAAGTGAAATCTGAGGCAAGCTTTACAGAAACTAAAGTTCCTTAGGATTATGCTCACACATTTCTCTTCCTTCTCCCCTCAAAAATCAGACTGTATAATCCACTGCTGAGTCTGAATGCTGCCAATAAAAAAAAATTCTCAGCTGTAATCCAAAGAAACCCTTATTGAACAAAGAATAATTCTTTATGATAGCTCAAGGGTGATGAGAAAATAATTTATTCCTATCAGTAGAACCGGTAGGAGTTATTAGCTGATGCTCTGGAAATCTCTGTACAACATTATCCATACTGTGTTATCCATCCAAGAGAGTGTTGGAGACCATCCCCACATAGCCATAAAGGTTCCCCCCTCTCACCTCTCCTAGAAATCAAGGGGTTGTGCTTCCTCCCACACTCCTGATGTCACAACCTAAAGGTTGAGGACCCATGAATTACTGAATTCTACAGGAAGATCTATTTATTTATTTTTAATGGAAGTATGAGCAACCTTTCAATTAACTACAGCTGACACCTTACCTTCAATAGGAAACTTCCGGGAAACATGCAGCTGTCTATGGTCCAGGTTTTCAGTCTTTCCTGAGGGGAGGTCTGGTGTATCAAAAGCTGAATTTAGCACAACTTTAACAGTGTTGGTATTTACTTTATTTGTATGCAAAATCTGGGGAATTTCCTGCCTGATTCTAGAAAAAGCATTCATAGAAATGCTTTTGAGGACTTTAACATTCCTAACCTTTCTACCTTTTGGTGTGGAAAATGCAGAAGCTAAAGAGTCATATGATCCATGTTCCTTTTCTTCTGTTAGCTTCATAGGAGAAATGATTGAGATACAGTTTTCAGTCAGTTTTGCTTGATTCGTTCTCTGATTTTGTGAGGGCAATGGTGTAGAAAAGTTTGTTCTTCCAATGCTTTCATCTTTCAATTTTGGTGGAGATGGATGTCTTAAGTTATCATTTGATAACTCATTTTCACCTCTAGTAGGTTTAATATCGACATGAGTGCCCAAGATACTATCTGAATTTTGACTACCATTCATGTCTATTTGTTCATCCTCAGACTCTTGAATAGAAAACCCCAGATCAAAGTTAACGGAGAACAGTTCCTGAGAACAGTCATAAAGATCTTCATTATCCAGAAATTGTTTGTTTACAATATCCAAATGTTCAGGTATTTTCAAATTTCTGGTCCTACAGCTTATTAGTGATTCTCTGGGGTTTGTATCACTGTCTAGAAAGCACTCATCTGAAATATGCCCTTCAGAAATTTGTCCAGCACTTGGTGCATCTTTATCATACAAATCTGATGACATCAAAAGTTTACTGCAATTGTACTTAGAAAGGCTTGCATTGTTAGCATCAGAAAAATGTTCATCTTCAAATAAATTTATGCTCTCATCTCTGTCAGTGGCCACATTTTCCTGGAACTTTTCAGAATCCATTTTATACCCGTCAACTGAATTTCTGTCTGAAGGGCTATTTGCCAGAGCATGATCTACCATTGTTAGATTGTCCTTTTGAATTTCTGTGTGCTCTCCATTATCAGAGTCAAAGATGTCGTCCCAGTTAAGACCATTATTTGTCTTGCCAACAAAAGCCTCAGAAAGGAAGCTTGGTTCTGAAGGACAGTTACTTATAGAGGAACACAATTTACTGGGGGCATTTAATTCTGAGCATTTCTGAGTGGGAAGTGATAGATTCTGGAACTCTGTGAAAGAGACAGAGGTTTTACCCTGCAATCCCTCTGTGAATGTGTTGGAAATAACTTTTTGAAAAGGAACAGGTTGTTGGATTTCATCGTCTCTGGTTCTGTCCAATCCTTCACAATTTTGGAGTTTATTCAAAGGTGGAGGAGACTGTGACAAAAGCCTTTTTACATTTGTTAATATTATTTTTATCAATGAAGGATCCTCAGTTGGAGTTGTGAGTGCAAATGAATCCAACTCTGCTTCAGGTAGGTAAAACAAGCTAGGTGAAACTGGTGATTTCTCCTCTGTGAAGCTACTGTAACCAGAATCTGCACAGTTTCTGTTCAGTGAACTACAGGTTTGATTTACAGATTTACATTCCTTTACTATTTCATTTGCACAACTGGTAACATTTCCACTGAGATCACTTGGGGCAGTAAATTCATTTAAGTGAAATGTCACATTTTCTCTGTTATCTGGTAGACTTTTATGTACAGTACATTCAGAAACAGCGTCCTCTGCAGTTGAAAAAGAATCTAAAATGTTAACTTCTGTACTTGCTGAAGGCATTTTCAAATTTAATGCAGATGTTCTTTTAGTGGTCTTGAAGTTGGTTGTTTTAAACAGTGAAATACATTCTGTATCAAGTTCACTTAAGGAACATGAACCAAGTTTTACTTTTGATCCTTGTGCCACGTTTTTTCTGGATGAAAATGCCTTCTGAGCCTTGGAGTTGCTGGTGGAAAGACATCTACTCCTTTGAGCATTTGAGGTTTTAATATCGTCCATATTTAAATAAGGCTGAATTTCCAGTTCATAGCTGCAGTCTCCCTGGTGAGAAACAAACAAATGGAACATTTAAAATCAGATAAAAACAAACAGATTTAGGTTTACAGACATTTTAATAAAACCATTTAAAATAAATGCCAAGATTCTAGGCCCAAGGTTTAACTACCCTTAAAAATGGGATAGAGAAAATTCCTTTGGATTCTAAGGCCAAATTTTTCCAATGAAGTTTGCCTGAAGTTCAGTTCTTACATACATATTTAGGTATCCAGGGTTGAAAATTATGGCCTAAATCTTTTTAAAAACAAACAAACCCACCAAAAATTAAAAGGTAGTGTTGTCACAGAGAATATCATGCGTTGCAGATTATGTTTCCTCTGCTGCCTTAATAGTAGCAGTTAACTTTTCTCCTTCATGACATTATCTGCATTTGGATGTTTTTCTTAAAATATCCATTTCTGCTGCAACCAGTTCAGCTCCACCAGTGGGAGAATAAGCACCCTTCACCATCTGTGCTTGCATCTCAACCCAAAGATCTGAATCTCAGAGTCAAGAGTGCTAGAATGGAAAGTGGCATGACCAAAGATTAATCCACCATAACTAAGTATTGGAGTAGAGCCCATGAGTTGCTAGAATTATTACTGTGTCAGAAAGTCAAAAATTCTGAGAGCTATAGGAGTTCTGTTCCATCTTGTGCTGGGAACTTGAGATCCAGGGGTGAAAATCTTGTAGTGATGGTATCTTTAAGAAATATCTATCTACTTTCCATCCTTCCTTAACTGTCCAGGATATCTATGCTCCTTTTGGATACTCCCAAGCCAAGTGTCCAGTGTTTAGTTTGTCCAGTGGGAATAACTGTAATGTCACAATATTTTGTCATTCTTGAAATAAGACTCTCTGAGGAATATGCCTTCCTCCCAAATTGTGCAAGCTGTCCATCAGTACAGATTAAAAAGCCTTTCTTCCAAAGTGGGACTTCTTGTAAACTACTGACAAAATCAGATATGCTGGAATTACAGTTTCAAACCCTCCCTGCAGGCTTGACAAAGAGACTAACCCAAGTTTTCCAGAAGTGACAAGTGATTTTGGGCGCCTCAAGTTTTTTGGTGGCCCACTTAAGACACTTTAAAGGAGCCCCAATTTTTGCAGAGAGCAGATGCTCAGCACTTTCAGAAAATTGGCCCTCCTGCAGCTGTATCAAATCAGTCACCCCAAATCACTAGAGACTTTTGAAGATCTTTGCCTCTTATTTTATGCACATGGGTGGTTCAAAAGCTCCCTAGCAGGATCTAGCCACTCTTCATTCATAGAATCATAGAATATAAGGGTTGGAAGGGACCCCAGAAGGTCATCTAGTCCAACCCCCTGCTCGAAGCAGGACCAATTCCCAGTTAAATCATCCCAGCCAGGGCTTTGTCAAGCCTGACCTTAAAAACCTCTAAGGAAGGACATTCTACCACCTCCCTAGGTAACGCAGGGAATCACAGGGAATGCAAGCTCTCCCTCTCAATAGCTGTAGTATGCCAAACTCCGTGTAAGCTGGCTGTAACGGACATTTGCTTTCAAAACCCAACCCAACCCAACCCAGCTCTCTCCCAGCACTCTGCTGTGACTACACAAGCCACGTTAAAGCGCTGCTGCCAGTGTAGACTAGCCCTCAGTCCTGGATCCAGAGAATCTTGGATCCTTCCCTGAAAAACGTCAATAACTACTGCATACTAGAAGCGAGTTAACAATAAACTATAAAAAAAATCAAGTTTAAATTTTTGATCTCTCACATTCTCATTTAAATAAGAGAGAGTGATCAAAATTTGAACCTAAACTCCACTCTCATGTAAGGAAACCACAAAAAGGTTATTTTCTGTAACCACCAGCAAGCAGAAAGTAGTAATGGACAGGAAAGGGATTACGGAGGGGGCTTCTATACTGTGGATTTCAAGAAAACTGTACCCAAAACAGCATGTGTGTGCATTTACAACTCCAACAACCCAAAAAACTACTTATTACTTTGAAAAGAGTTCTGTCTCTTCTGTGACAGGGTATGCAACTTGTACAGTGTCTGCTGTGGCAATATCATGAAGGAATAAGGAAAAAGGAAAGACATGAAGCTTTATCATAGCTTTTTAGAAACTCCGAAGAATCAATGACAGTTAACAAAAGCTATTAGTTTGTAATATACTTTCAGCTCTGGGATTCATTTTCATCAGTGCTTGATAGACTTTAAAGGAATCTAAGATATAGAGAATTCACCAGGCTTCATTCTTAGTTCTCTGTGCATTAAGTATAACTATATGCATGGAAAACCAATTTAAGAATCAAAAAGTAATTTGACAAATTAATATCTAAAGATATAAGTGTTGATCTCCCAATATCCAGTAGAACACGTATAATGTACAGCCAATTTATACACGAGCTACTTAAAACAGGAATACAGAACGGTGTGTCATGTCTACATAGCCAGTGCTCAAAAATCTTCTAACATCTAGGTTACTGACATCTGTCCTAATTTCAGGCTTACAGGGAGTTACATAAATGTTCTTGTTTGCTATAGTGCAGTGCTAAATCATACAAAATGGTTTCTTCAAACAAAACTGCTTACTACTTACTGATGGATGCAAAGACAGAGTTACAAAAGTTACATTTTAGCCTGAATACATACAATTTCTACAGACTTAAAATGTCATCTGATAAACTACTCCACAATCTAGCAAGTTTCAATAGTGCATCAGCTGATCAGTAAAGCAGGTCATGAGAAAGAGGAAAACAACCCTCTCTCTCATATTATTGTATTAAACCAATAACCTTGTCTAGAATTATTAAATTCAGTTTTTCCTAATACACAAAAGACAAGTATATAAATAAATAAATAAATAAATACAAAAGTTCTAACATCTGAAATGGGCTTCTTGGCTGCATTTAAGGTGATAATTTATTTTAATTGTAATTCCTCTTTTTATTATCTAAGGCTTCTGTAGGATATCAGAATTAACATTCACAAGAAAGACTCCATAACCTGCTTTGGACACATTTTATTATATTAATACTTTTTTTACTATTTTAAAATTAACAGATAAATGCTACAAGACAATGGACACTTTGTAAAAGTTACATCTTCCAAAAAAACAGGCTTGTTTAAAACTAAGGTATTGAAGTAAGACTAGTACTAACAATTAGAATCAAATCTATTGTGATGAAACAGAAAAATAAATACTTATATTTCAATAACTTTAACCAACAAAGTGTAGGAAAGACAGGGCTTTGGAATGTTTAGGGTTTGGGTTTTTGTTTTGTTTTTTTTAAATGTTGGTTTCATTAGCTACCAAATGATGCATTTGGAGTAGTTACTACTTTCAATATGGATAGTTCAATTAATACTTTGCTATCTTAAGGTTAAGTAGATGTCGGTTACAACTTTAATGAGCACTTCAATGCCAATGTTACAACATTAAGCCTAGTGGCTTTTATACCATATGGTGTATAAACAAACAAAAGAACAGATGTCATAATTAAACTGGTACATTCTATTCTATTTGAATTACATATAGTTGCAAAGTTATCCTTTTAGCTGATCAGTTCACTTCTTAATTCTCAAGGACAAACCCACATTTGTTGGTTCTTTAGTACAAGACAGTCTTTCCTATACTTGGAACAACAAAGTACCTTGAGTGCTACTTTGAAACACAGCGGATCCCCTTTTTAAAATTTACAAGTAAATATTAACAATACTTTAAAAATATCAGAATGCTTTTAACATGCACTTAGAAAAAAAATCAAGCTTCTGCATAAAATAATATGTAAGAAGCCAGCTATGCCATCAAATATAAACAAAACTTTTGGCGAAAGTCAAATAGTGTGCAACCCATCCCCCCTAAAATGGAGTGTTATTCTTACAAAGACAGCCTTCTCCTGAAACCAGCTTCTTTAAAAACTTCTGTTCATCTGGTTGATTTGGATACAGAGGACAATTGTTCAGAGGAAAATATTATAGTCCTCTTTAAAAAAGAAATAACTAGGCTTGTTTCAGTGGAAGTGGTTGCACTTTCCAGTATTTCTTTGATCATTACTTCCAGTAAACAACGAAATGGATCTTACTAATAAGCCATAACAATAAAAAGGTAAAGTCAAACGATTCCTCAGAGAGGAGGACTCACAGCAGCAAAATATGACAGTCATGGTAGCAGCTAACGTAGCCAGTATCATCAAAGTGGTTCTACAGATGTTAAGAGGCTCTCAAAGAACAAATGAAATATGAGACTAATAGATTAATATGAGTTGGAGTGGATATATTGTAGCATGACCATTCTGGATACAAATGATAGCTAGTTTGTATTACAGATGCCTGAAATGGTGGCTGCAACAATTTTCTCCTGTATGGAAGACAGGCATAACGAGCATCTGAGAAAGTCCCCTGTAGCTCACATGTTGGAGTTCCCAATAGTCCACAATTCACCACTGTTAGAGGGATATCATCATGTATTTTACAACTGTTCAGGTATGATTAAAAATATAGATGGTCTAAACCTAATAAACTATGGATAACAAAGACACATTGTTGGATCCCAAACTGTTTCAAATGTTCCTAAACCTCAATGCTTCTTTGTAAGGTTCCTAAACCTTAATGCGTCTAATATAGACATAGCCAACTGCTATCCATTCTACTGAAGCCTACAAAACAAATATATACAAAAGCAGTTTGCTAATTTAAACAGTCAAAATAAATTACAATGTACAATATTAAATTATCCCAATGGAATGTTTATTTTTATACCTACAGTAGCAAGACCCTAAAATGCCACCCTCTCCCCACATAAGTAAGTAAAAGACTTCAATCACTTAGATGTAATCCTTGTAGGAGCCTGGATGACTTGTTATTAGATGTATACAAACTGATAATCTGTTTACATTTATAATTCAGGGTTTCAATAATCATTTCATCTATAGAATTTCAGGGAGGAAAACATTATTCTTGTGCAAGGATATTTTTAAAATTTAGGAAATTGAAAATTACAACTATTTTTAATAATTTGAGTTTTAAGCAATAAAAA